GGGGGATATGATGAGGGCCGTTAGATCAGGGTGGCTTGAACGGCTGAGATGGGTTGCCCCCTGAAACGACGTAGTTTTGGTGTCAAACTACGTCGTTTGGAGACCTGGAGATGGGTCTGCTGGAACGGTTTTTTGGGCTGCTTTTTTGGGCCTCAGATTTTAAATAGGGGACCAGCCCAAATCTATTTTAAACCAAATTGCACCCTTTTCTTCCATTTCTGATTTTAAAACACAAAACCCAATTAAACAAAATTAAACCTCATTAATTAACACTTAAAGCAATTATTACACACATATTAAAATGTTAAAAATAGGTAAAATCAAACCAAGGCAACAAATAGGGCAAAAGATGCATATTTTGTGATTTTTTTCTTTTAATAACCGGATTATGGTTCAACTACACACGACACACATTTTTGTGTTTGATAAAATAAAAATGGACAAGATCACAAATAACTAATAAAAATGCCACGTAAAAATCCAAAAATTGTACAGCAAGACCAATTGCTATTATTTTTGTTTCTTTTGGAGTGATTGTCGCGAAAACAAAAATCACGTGCTCACAACGGGTAAAATTATAATACGTACTTTATTTATTTATTCTTAAAAAGAGTGCAAAATCAAACGTGGACAACTAAAGTGAACAGAGGAAGTAGTAATTAAGAACTAGTCGATGAGGCTTAAGTAAAAAGTATAATGAGAATGTACAAAGAGAAACTCTGGTGATCGTTGAGCAAGGTAGCTAACCTCGACGGCCACGATGACTCACCGTAATCACCTTACACTCCCTACATAATCACCTCTTCCAATTGATAATAGGAATAGATTAATTACACCAGAAAGTGGTATTCCTCAGAAAGTAGCCCCAATGCAATTGTTACACTGGATGCCAGGTATGGGGAGTGCCCCTACTGTCATGCAAGCCCCACCGGAAACGGAGAAGGATGAATCGCAAGTAATGGAACCAGGATTGCTGACAGCGGTGCGGAAATTAACCTACTCAGCTGGGTCTCAAAGTACAAAGCAAATCATGGTAGAGGTAGACAAAGACAACATAGTTCAAACACAAGGCATACAACTAAAGTTCTATCCTTCGGTAGTCAAGGATGGAGTGAAAATGGCTAAGCTGAACCCACAGGAGATAGAACAACAGTGTAAGCAATGAAAAACAACTTTGATTGGATATATGCTAGGGGGAAATCCGTCATTCAAGGAGATGCTCAAATTTGTCTATGGAGTATGGAATTTAGTGACGACACCAACGGTACTTCTTCATGACGATGGATATTTTATTTTTCGATTTGAATCTATGGAGGACAAAAACTTAATTCTGCAAAATGGACCTTACACCTTCAACAATAGACCTATGGTCTTGAAGGATTGGGATCCAGATTTCCAAATTCAGAATGAATTTATGAGAATAGCTCCTATATGGGTTAACCTACTAGAGCTGCCTATCCAGTGTTGGGCTGAGGAAAACTTAGGTAGGATTGCTAGTCTGCTAGGCAAATCTATTTGCACTGATAAACTTACTGCACAGTGTGAAAGAGTTTCATATGCTAGAGTACTCATTGAAATGGATATCACACAACCACTACCAGATGAAGTACTCATTGAAAAGCCATATGGAAGTAGCTGGATGCAGAGAGTGGATTTTGAATGGAAATCAAAACTTTGATTGGATTGCAACAAGTTTTGGCATGGTACTTGTGAGTGTCAACAAGCAACACAGTAGGTTGAGGATCCAAAACAGCATAAAAGAAGAAGGAAGAAGAGAACAAGAATGGAATGGAAGCCAAAAGCAACAGATACAGAAAATAACAGAACATAGGTTTTGCCTCAGGAGGAACCTATACAACAGGAGACAGTAGTAGAGATACAAGTAACTAATAGAGGCAAACATGCAGTGGTTACCCAAGGATCAGCTGGCAGAAAGAGCCATAAGGATATTAATTATGAAGAACTAGCTAGAAAAAATTCATTTGCACCCTTGACAATACTGGAAAGGCCATCAAATGAAAGTCATCAAGGACCATCTCTAGTAACGATAAAGCTCAAAGGGCATCTGAGAGTACCAATCCTATTAATCATAATCCTCCATGATTATTGTGGCCTGGAATATAAGAGGACTAAATAAGTCCTACAAGCAACGAGAATTCAAAAAGTTCTTGTTGATGAATAAGGTAGATATGATAGCTTGCCTAAAGACTAGAGTCAAACAACAAAAAGCTAAAACGATACAAATGAAGATGGGTGCTAAGTGGAAATTCGAGGATAACTATGCTTATGCACCAAATGGTAGAATTTGAATAGGTTGGAAAGTAGCAAATGTTCAAGTCACAGTAATGGATGCCTCAGATCAGATAATACCCTGCCTAGTCAAGGATAAGAATTCATCATTTACCAGCTACATAACATTTATATATGGACTACATACAGTTCAGCACAGAATCCCACTCTGGAGAAGCTTGAGAAATATTCAAAGTAATGGACCTTGGCTTATAATAGGTGATTTTAATAGTGTGCTACATGTGGATGACAAAATGAATAGAGTCTCAGTTCACCAAACAGAGATAGCTGACTTTCAATATTCTATTGATGATATTGGGGTGGGGCAAATCACAAAAAGAGGCTGCAAATTCTCATGGAGCAATAAGAGGGATGCAGATGACAAAATTTATAGTCATATAGATTGGGCTCTTGTAAATGCTAATTGGTTCCAACAATATAATGGTGTGGAGGCTCTCTACATGTTTTCATGTTGCTCAGATCACTCACCTATAATGATAAATACTGATGTTGCTAAGTTGAAAGTGAAAAAGCCTTTTAGATTACTATCTATAATGATGCAATTGCAAGAGTATAAAGAGGTAGTACAGGCTACCTGGAGCCAACAGATTCAAGGTCACACAATGTATTCAATATGGAAGAAGTTGAAGTTAATAGAGTTACAAACCAGGGTCCTTCAACATGAGCACTCCTCAGTTGATCAAAAACTAGTTCAATTGAGAGATACTTTGAAGGAGGTACAGGGGAGCTTAATGAAGACTACTTCAACAATTTACTAATTGAAGAGGAAAGAAAGACCATGGCACTTATAGAGAAATGGGAAGCAGTACATGAGCAAATAATGAGACAGAAGTCAAGGGCCACACGGATCAAATTAGGGGACTGCAACACCAAGTACTTTCATGCTTATATGAGAGCCAGACAAGCAAGAAACAAGGTTAATTGCATATATAATGAACAACAGATCAAGGTCTCTGAGCCTAAACAGATACAGAAGGAGTTCACTCAGTTCTTTCAACAATTATTGGGTAAAACAGCAGATGAACTACCAGGCATTGATATTAATATAGCAAGAAATGACCATGTCAAACCATGAATCAACAACAATAGTCTGTAACACCAGAGGAAATAAGTTAGATTGTGCAAAGTCTTCCTAGTGACAAGGCACCTGGTATTGATGGATATCCTGTTGAATTCTTTAGGAAATTTTGGCCAATTATTGGAGGGGAGGTTATAGAAGCAGTACAAAAATTCTTTGAAACTGGCAGACTGCTGAAAGAAATCAACTGCACAATAGTCACTTTGATCCCCAAAGTTCAAAATCCTACTTATGTGAAGGATTTTAAGCCTATTGCTTGTTGTCCAACACTGTACAAGATCATTGCTAAGGTACTTACAGCTAGACTTAAACTAGTTGTTGATCTACTGGTAGGGCCTTCACAATCTGCCTTCATAGAAGGTAGAAACATACTTAACAATGTTATAATGGCGTATGAACTGATTAAATGGTACACTCAAAAACTAGTCTCTCCTAGATGCATGATCAAGGTAGATATCAGGAACGCATATGATTCAGTAGAATGGAGCTTCTTGAGATCAATACTACTTGAATTTGGGATCCTATCCAAGATGGTAACATTGAACATGGAATGTATAACTACTATTAGTTATACATTACTATTGAATGGTGGATTAACTGACATATTTGAAGCAAAGAAGGGGTTAAGGCAGGGAGACCCAATGCCTCCATACTTGTTTGTGCTGGCAATGGAATACCCGAACAAATCATTAAAGACTCTCATTCAGAATCCTGACTTTAATTTCCACCCAAAATGTGCAAGGCTACAAGTTCTACAAATTTGTTTGCCGATGATCTACTGGTGTGCTGTAGAGCAGATGAAGTATCCATGAAGCTAATGATGGGAGCTTTTGAACACTTCTCTACTGTTTCTAGGCTGAAAGCAAATTTGGAAAAGAGTTCATTATACATAACAGGAATGCCTATGGACTTCAAAGATAAAATGTTAAATGAGTTACATCTAACATTGGGAACTCTTCCATTCAAGTACCTTGGAGTTCCTCTGTCCACACGGAAGCTCACTATCCACCAATATATGCCACTAGTTGAGAAGATCGATGATAGAATCAGAAGCTGAATGTCAAAATTTCTTTCCTATGCTGGCAGGTTACAATTCATTAAGAGTGTCCTATTTGAAATGAAGACCTATTGGGCACAAGTATTCCTCATTCCAAAGAAAGTCATTAAGCGTGTTAATAACATCTGTATGAGCTACTTATGGATTGGAGTACATGACAATGCTCATAGAGCTCTTGTTGCTTGGGAAACACTGTGCAAACCAAGAGCAACTGGGGGTCTAAATATTATCAATTATGAGATATGGAATAAGGCTGCTTTGACTAAACTCCTATGGGCTATAATGGCAAAGAAGGATAAGCTATGGATTAGGTGGATACACAGTCATTACATAATACAGAAGGATATTACTACCATGGATGCTCCAAAACAGGCCAGCTGGTTAGTGAGGAAACTTTTCACTGCTAGAGAATGGTGGGCAACTGACTTAACAATCATAGAATCCTTTGCAACTGATGGAAAGTTCAGTATTAAGAAGGCCTATTTACATGCTATTCCAAGGTATCCTAAATCCCAATGGAAATCACTAGTCATGTTGAATGGAATTATGCCAAAACATCAATTCATACTATGGATGGCAGTACAAAGAAGGCTAGCTACTGTCGACAGATTGGCAAAATAGGGACTACAGATGCCACAATCATGTGTGTTATGTGAAAGAAATATAGAAGAAATACATGTCACCTATTTTTTGACTACTCCTACTCATAAAGCCTATGGAAAGGAATGCTAAGTTGGCTAAGATATCAAAGAAGTGTCACAAACTGGGAAGCTGAAGTAAAGTGGTTATTTGCCACTGCTAATAATAGAAACCCAAGGAAAACAATCCTAGGTGCTGTGTTTGCAGCAGTGGTGTATCATATCTGGATGGAACGAAATGATAGAAGATTTCAGAACTAGAAAAGAGAGGCCATGGACAGAGCTAAAGACGTTACAATCCAAGTACATATAACAGGATAACAAAATGCAAATGGAAACCTGTATTGGTTACACTGAATAGTTATCCTAAATTGTAAACATATCAATTAGGATAGAGGAAGATCCACGCATGTTATAAGTGGTCTTTGATAGGCAACCTCATGGTTGTATAGTTTCTTGTTTTATTGGTTGAGTCTTGAGACCTGTCAAAAAGTGCAGGTATTGGACAATCGGTTATAATTATTTTTGAAGACAACGTAAGCTTGATTCTACGTGCTTACCCATTTAACTATTTCCTAGCGATATGACATGATTTATAATTAGAAGTCATAAATTATACATACACACCCTTCTCTATATACATACGTACACACATATTTATATGTTTGTAATTATGATATGCATTTGCATATTTAAATAAATTCGTTCACTGATCATTAATTATTATATCATGATTAAATATCTTTTATTCTTGAATGTTCTTGATTCCATAAGAGGGAAATAATTATTAAGGAAATTAATTAAGTATCGTCTTCCGATCCTCTTTCTTCAGGCATGGGATTGTACGGATCTAAGTCTAAGAACTAGATATGTCAACGTTCACAAATCAGAGAGTAATTAAATATGTCATATCCAATATATAAAACTATAAAAGCATTAAGTAAGATTGTGACTTCTTGTTGGCAACAGTTTGTCGCCATAATTTGAGCTGCATATTTACATTTTATATATTTATAGTTTCATATATTGGATGTGACATATTTAATTACTCTTTGATTTGTGAACGTTGACATATCTAGTTCTTAGACTTAGATCCGTACAATCCCATGCCTGAAGAAAGAGGATCGGAAGACGATAATTAATTTCTTTAATAATTATTTCCCTCTTACAAAATGAAAAAGGACTTTACAAGTTTTGAGAGAGAATTTTCGGAGAGAGAGAGGGTTCTAAAAAACCTTGCCTCTTCAAATGAAAGAGGTCTTCTATTTAAAGAAAGAAAAAAAAATATAAAGAATCTTTGAATAGTAAATTGGGTTTCATATCTGGGTTCCTTATACAGTGTTTATACTGTTGGGAACAATGTATCTACTGTTGTGTGGGGCTCTGAACAGTATATTTACTGTTTTTGTGGGGTCCTCGGTGGCTTCAATATTTCCCGCTTTCTCTTTTTTCTAATTTGTTCATCGTTTGGAGGAAATCTTCCACTTCTTTAATTGCATTACAAGACAATATGGCCACATTATATTCAATCGAACCCATCAGAGACTGTCTGAAATTCAGATTTCTAGCATCTCTAAGAGCTGCTAAAAAGGTCT